GGGGGCGGCGGCGGCGTCAGGTCCCCCTGAGGGGTTGTTTGTGGTTGTCGTGGAGATGGAGCTTCGGCCTTCAGCCTGTCTGCCTTTCCTTCTGTCCCGTGCAGGTGATTTTGAAGAGGAGAAGCTCGGTATAAAGAAGAACGGCTCGAAAGCTCTGGCTGGGAAGAAGGAGGAGGAGGGTGGTGTTGCTGGGGTTTCCAACGCGGCAAATGAGCCTTCAAAACAGAAAGGGGCAAAATCACTAGTAAAAGAAAATAAAAAAAATACTAGAAATAAAGGGAATCGTAACAAAGAAGAAATGTGCAGGTAAGCTTTCTTATCATTCAAGTCTGTGTGACCTTTCTCTTCATGTTTCTTCACATTTTTTAGGGCTCGGTGCTGCACGTGCCAGCAGTTTAGTTTTGGCTGTCAGTTCAATTTAGTCCCCCTGTGTCACACAGCTGAACAGAAGTGCTGTCCTACTCATTGCAGAGTCACTTCTGGGGAAGATTGTCTATATGGGAAACAAATACGTGAGCCTTTTCAAATTCCCTGTTTTAAAAATAAAATTTTATTTCATTGGTCCGTTTTTAAGTGGGGCTAGGGAGGCATTCCAGAACCCAGCATTAATGGAAACTTTGGCCTGAGATTTGGGTTTAAAATGATGAGCAGAAATCTTTAAACATATCATCCTATGTTGTTTTTTGGAATATAATACCAGCACAGTTGGCCATTGCTATAATGAATTAATAAAAAGAAATTAAACTGACTGGTCTCATTTTACTGGCCAGCCAGAGCCCCAGGTATTAGTGTAGTGAAACGGAAACAGTGTCAATTTCAGTACACTTTGAAGGTTCATTAAGAACACATGATGCAGCAAACCACTTCTCCAAGGAGTCATTCATACAAGCTGTTCTAAAGAATGGAGCCTTTTGTAGTTTCAAGCATCTTCCTTCCTAGACATCCTTGCAGAACCAGACCCTAAGGTGGCACTGAAGAAGTGTTGTTCAAGTGAGCCCATGGTTATTTAGGGCAAAGACAGTTGGCTTTACAGAGGAGGTATCTGTGGTTTAACTGTCAAATACTTAATCTGCTCTTACTGATGCAGAGGTCATGCTTCATTTATTTCCCTGTTTTATTTTGTTCTTTCTCTATTTTTCTTAACTAAACAAGCACCTACACTTCCTGATGCTAAAGACGTTTTGATAATTTGAACAGTGACCCGCTGATGCCCCCTCAGAAGGAGATGAAGAAACAATCTCCTGTTAAAAAAGAATCTCTCCCTCAGAAGGAGATAAAGTTGAAGAAAGAATCTCCTGTTAAAAAAGAGATGGATGAAGACAACGATGAAGATAATGAAAGTGAAGATGAATGGGAAGATGTAGAAGGTAACAATTGCATGCTTATTTGTTTTAAAGGAGTAAATATTCTTAACATATTTTTTTCAATTTGATTTTTTAATCATTACTCATTTAGATTCAGTTAAATGTATATACTCTGTATCCCTGAAATATGTTCCATATCCAAATCTGTATCTTTCAAAGCTCCTATCTTAAAAAGCTTTTAGAATGGTTCCAAAGTAGAACAAACAAACAAACAGACAACTACTGAACTGATGGTAGTGCCTTGAATTTGACTCTTTGTTGACTTACATTAATATTATGTTGCCACATCTCAGCTGTGTTGTCTAATGGCGAACAGCTGAGAATGGGTCAGTTTGAAGGTTCAAAACTGTGACTTCCTAGAATAGGAGAGTGGAGATGAAAACAACTGAGCTGTTTGATTAGGTGACCATCAATAAACTGTGATAAGAATCATGATGATCATAATCTTAATATTTTGCTACAGATGCATGCCTTCTGTAGTGAGCAGTTGCCAGTTTCTTTCTTTGCTACTCTACAAGTACTCTTCAAGTCACATCTGCTTCATTCACCTTTCTTCTGATGGAGTTTGCCTGTGACAGTCACTTTTCATTAGACTCTGCTGAGCTGATTGCTCAACAGCAGGTGACTGATATCTCACAGTTACTGGAAATAACTTGAGCACACACAGTGATATGGAAGATCCAGGAGCTGGTAGTCACTGGGGATATTCTGTTCGTAGGTTTTTTGAACACTTGAGAAGGACTAGGTAGGTTCTTATCCCATTGGGGTATCTATTCCATGTCTACTTGCCATTTAGTCATATTTTATTTTTTCCAGAACTCCAGGAACCTGCCACAGATAAGTTAGAAGAAGCTGCTTCTCTTCAGGCAGTGGTGCTGCCAAGCAATCCTGTCGAGATAGAGATTGAAACCCCAGAGCAGCTGAAGAAAAGAGAAAGGAGGTAAGAACAGGAAAGACAGTGGAGGGCTGTTAAAGGGTGAAGTTAAAAATACACTATGTCTTGACTCTCACTAACTTGTTGTGTTCTGGATAGAAATTCCCACTCTGTGCAGGCTGTTGAGTTGGAATGATGCAAAGTTATGGGATAGAGAACAGTTTACACACTGACGATTTTACCAGAAATCTGCTGTGGAAGTTGGTGGGAATGGAAGCTTTTGAGTTTCTGTGAAAATCAAGTGTGTAACTTCATTGTGCTTTAATATCTACATTTTCAAACCAGAAGCAGTAGTAGCTCTCCAGGGAGAGTTGTGGGTGAATGACATTGTTGTACTGTAAACATCTGAAGAGCTCAGGGGGAAGCCTCTGTGTGCCCATACCTGAGGTGTGCATAGGTGGGCCAAATGCATGTCCTTGGCAGCTGGGAGCTTTATACATTATACCAAGGGGAGCTTTCTTTGTGTGGCAGCTGGAAACCAGATGATAATCTCAGGCTGCTATGGGGTGGGCACAGTTCTGGGCCAGCCCTTAATAACAAAGCAACAGGAATATCTGTTGCCTCTAAGTTAGAAGACTACATCAATGAAGAGAAAAGCATTTTTCAGGAATCTGAATGGAATGTTAGCAGTAATCCCAAAGTCAAACAGTAACTTGTAAGTTTAATATGGAGCTGTCCAGAGCTGTCTGGTAGGAAACTGTAGGCACATAAAGTTAGGTAGAATTAAGGCTGTCTTGAATACAGTCCAGCTCTCTGAACTTGGGTGCATGGAGTTCACAGTTTATTAGTCATCTACAGCCTGCATGCCTGTTCACATAGCCACAAACTAAACCTCCGTTAAGTGTGCACAGAAGATTCTCTGGGATGGATGAACTGATCCAGTTCAGGAATATATAAAAACAGGTCCATACAAAATCTACAACATCCATTTCTTTTGTAATCTTATGCAGAGAAAAAAGGAAGGCTGAGTTTGAGATCTACCTGCGAAGAATGATGAAACGTTTTAGCAAGGAGGTTCGTGAGGACACACATAAGGTATTGGTCACAGAGAAACTTGGCAGAGTAAAAATTGAGCATAAAGATGTCTGAACTGATTCTTAATGAAGAAAAAACTCATTTTGATAAAATAGTTTGGGGGCATGTCTAGAAGTGGAAAAATAAAAAGGCTGTAGTCCAAATGCTCATGAAACTTCTCTTAAACTATAAGTTAGAAACATCAGTGACTGCATTAGTAAAATTCTAATTCAAACCAGATAGGAGTAGGTTGTATATTTCTCTCTTGAGTGTGTATCTGCTCATTCTGGTGGGGTTAAACTTTCAGTCATGTAGAGCAGGAGATGCTAACAGGGCCTTCAAGGCTTTACTGTCTTCTGATGGTGATATGAAGATAGCCCTGTATCCACCCTGCATATGCCTGGGAGGCTTGATTGTTGCCTGTCTCTGTTAAAGGGAGCAGTAAAGACAATAGTTCAAGCAAAGAAAATCGCTTGTGAACTCATAGTAGAAACTTTCTTCTCTTAGGTTCACCTCTTGTGTTTATTAGCAAATGGTTTCTATAGGAACAGGATCTGCAACCAGCCAGAACTTCATGCCATTGGTCTATCTGTCATCCCCACCCACTTCACTAAAGTGCCTGCTGATCAAGTGGACCTTCTCTACCTTTCCAACTTGGTGAAATGGTAAAACTCTCCAAATCATTATATCACATAAAATGTTAGAGCCAGGGTTCAGGAAGAGGGGTAAATGTAATTACCAATTTTCAGTGGTTATTCTGGTTTTAAATACAAGGGTGAGAGACTGTCCTTTTTACAGAAGGAAAGGATAAGCTATGAAGTTCAAGAATACAGTCATAAACAGTAAACAGTAAGTCAGTGTCTCCTGTTTCAGGTTTGTGGGAACCTTCACTGTCAATGATGAGCTTTCCACTGAAAAAGGAGAGCCCCTTCAGTCGACCTTGGAGAGGCGCTTTGCCATCTATGGTGCACGAGATTATGAGGAGTTAGTTCATGTAAGTGACTGGGAAGTACAGGGTTGGTTGCCAAGCTGGGATGCTAGACCAGGGCTGCAGTGCTGTCAGCTTGTACACAAAGTGGTGCTTGAGGGATGGATTTGGAGAAAAATGGATGACTTAGATGATTCTTTGGCTTTTTCTTTTTGTTGTTTTTTTATCTGGAGTCTGTATTTAAATTATTCAGTTTGAACTGTGCCTAACTGGAGCCTCTAGTTGTTGGTGTTGCTGTGCACTCCATGTTCTGCTGTGGGTGGCTTTATGTACAGCTTTGGCTTCTTTAGGTTACTTTAGCAGTGTAGATCAAAGAAAACCAGCTTAATAGGTTTCTTCTGAAATACTAATTGGAGTGAGGAAATAATTTCGCTTATTTGCAGCCAGAGAAGCTCTTTACAGATCTTTAGTTAGAAGGTTGGTTTGTTACTGTGAGTCACCACCAAAAGCCAAAGGAGTTGAGCCTTGATTTAGAGCAGCCCGAGGCAAAGGCTTAAAAAGGACTTCAACTCTTCAGTCATTTTGTGGTGGAGTTGGATTAAGGGAACAAGTGGAGTCAGTTGCTTCAAGTCACAGAGATTTTGTAAAACAGCTGAGGGTGGGGAAACACAGGAGATTGAAGTGACACAGGACATTTGAAAGAGCAGAAACAAGCTGCTGTTTTGCAGGTGCATGGCTTGCAGCTCTGCCCTTTTGCTGATAAAGTGGGATGCTGCTGCTTCTCTGCTGCAAAGCAGGAAGTGGTTGTTGTGGTGGCTTTGCAACCGTGCAGAGATTTCACCTCCTGGGACAGGAGGAAAAGACAAAGCAAGCCATGCTTGCACAGCTTCAGTCAAGTTCCATGCAGGAAGGCAGTTGCCACTCACAGCCACTAGCCACTCATTTTTGACTGTCATGGTATACTTTGGATGGCTGGTGTTTCTGCTGGGTTCAGCTGATGTGGTTGGCTTTGGCCACCTTTGGGAAGTAGGATTTAGGTCATCTTACTCAGTTTTCCTCAAGAATGAGAATGATTGGTTAGATGGGATTCTGCTCCAGCAGAATGGTTCATTTAGCCTCTTTAGGAGTTGGCTCCTCATCTGTGAGTAACAGCAGTACCCCTGTCACAGCATTAACATAAATAAAAGCCAGAGAAGACTGAGATGCTTTAATACTATAGTAAGCAGGCCGTCTACACATCTGTGTCAGTGTGTACAGCACCAGGTAAATGTAGGAATGAATATTATTTGTAACAGGCCCAACCATGGAAGAGTTTCAAGAGGGTTTTTTATATTATATACCATGGAAGAAGATTAAAGATGCTGTACTTTTTCTTTTGCAGGTATTTTTAATTATTCTGCGAGCATTACAGCTGATGTGTCGCCTCGTGCTGTCTTTTCAGCCTCTTCCTCTCAAGGAAACAGGAGCAAAGGTAGTTTTTGTTGAGTGTGGGAAGGAATAGATCACTGGATTAGAGAGCAAGGTTTAAAAAAAAATTTTGGCTGCTGCAGGTTGAAGTTAATCACTTACTGCATGAGCCATGCTGATCCAATGTTCTGTCAGTAGTGCAGAAGACACAAACCCTTCATTTTTAGGTTTTTCCTTTAAAAAGAATTCACACACTTTGTGTTTTTCAGCAAAAAAGTCTAATGCTTCCAGGGCTATAAATGTCTTTAAAATTTAGACAGCAAACACTTGCTACTTGAGTACACTTCTCTTCTGCCATTTGCCTGAAGTTTTCAAGTGCCTAAGACATGCAGATTGACCATGCCTGCCAACCTTTGATCTGCATGCATCTTGTGCTGATTGCAGTCTTTTTTTTTAACATATTCTTAGCCATGCTGATAAAAGTGACCTTATCTTTTCCTTTGCAGGTAAAAAGCTCATCCAAGAGGCAGTCTCTCAGTGCTGCTTCTGAGGGGCAGGAGGGCTCGGCTGTAACGTCCAAAGCCGTGACGAAAAAATGCCCCTGCAAAAAAGCCAAGCAGGATGAGAAATCCTCAGAGAGTGAAAAAGACAACAAGGAGCCCAAGAAACCCAAAACTGCTCAGACCAAAAGGTTGTGCAAGTCAAAGTTAACTACAGGCAGCCAGGAACAAAAGGAATCGGGTAATGAGGAGAGCAGTTTAGCAGAAAAAGATGTTCTGGTCAGGCCCAAGAATGATCGGCGGAGGCGAGTGGCCTCCAAAGTGTCTTACAAAGAAGAGAGTGAAAGTGATGAGGGCAGCGTCTTGGACTTTGAGATTTCAGAGGAGGAGAGTGATCTCTCTGATGAAGATTTTGTAACTGTCCCTAAAAGGCGGAAGAGCTCACTGGGCTCCTGGAATTCAAAGGTAACAGCTACAAAAAGCCTCAAAATTGAGGCTTCGGAATCAAGGCTATCTAAAAATTCACGTGGAGCTGAGCCTAGGCCAGCAAAAAGTGCAGCTTCAGCCTTGCCTCATGCACAGAGAAAGAGAAACAAAATAATTTCTAGTGATGAAGATGATGGACAGCAGGAGATAAGCAAAGTGATGGGCACAGACCAGTGGCTGGAAGTTTTCCTTGAACATGAGGAAAAGTGGGTGTGTGTAGACTGTGTTCATGGCAGCGTTGGCCAGCCCCAGCTGTGCTTCAGGAAT